AGTGTAATACTAGGGACGTGACTTTAAATGTCCGGTTGTCAGTGTAATACTAGAGACGTGACTTTAAATGTCCGGGTGTCCATGTAATAGTAGGGATGTGACTTTAAATGTCCGGGTGTCAGTGTAATAGTAGGGGCGTGACTTTAAATGTCCGGGTGTCCGTGTAATAGTAGGGATGTGACTTTAAATGTCCGGTTGTCAGTGTAATAGTAGGGGCGTGACTTTAAATGTCCGGGTGTCCGTGTAATAGTAGGGATGTGACTTTAGATGTCCGGTTGTCAGTATAATAGTAGGGACGTGACTTGCAATGTCCGGGTGTCCGCGTAATAGTAGGGACGTGACTTTAAATGTCCGGTTGTCAGTGTAATAGTAGAGACGTGACTAAATGTCCGGTTGTCAGTGTAATAGTAGGGGCGTGACTTTAAATGTCCGGGTGTCATACGAAAGTGGTTTCTCGTGTATGATGTTTTACAAGACACGAGGCACAAGTGATTAATTTTGTGACAGATGAATCAAAGTTAAATAAATTACAATTATTTTTATATATAAAGACGTGGTTCGTTCCATTAAAAAGACACACACTCTCGAGCCAATATGCTGAAAAATGACCGACGTCAGAGTAACAAAACTTCAAAAGTGTTGTGACGTGAAACACTGCTCTCTGATTTGTCTGTTTAGTGAAAAAAACACTTATATACAATGAACATTACTTGCAAAATCCAATAAATGATCAGCTATATACATGGTGTTTTTAACCACTATCCTATTGTAAATAAAGTGTTTGACATCGTATTTGAGCATACATATTGTCTGGTAGTAAAATATCACATTAACCGTAAAAAGATTTATTTAATGTGATATCTAGAGCATTATATCGGTACCTTAAAGTTTGTTGAGAATTCGGGATTCTCTCACAGCAATTCCTCACTGCGAAAAACTCTCGTGAACTCGCCTATTTGAATCACGGGATTAGATTTTGAAAGTTAGACAGTCACAAAGTCAGGATCATACAAAAAGACCTGAAATAATTGCATTCATTAAGATATGATGAAAATATACCTGAGAGTCCAATGTGTAAGGTCGGCAGTACTGACACTAGCAATGTAAACAGGTTAAACAGGTAATACATCGTTCATTTCCTAGAATGTCCACTCCCGGGATTAGATGCGGACTACCCGATAGAGGGCGCTGGCATCTCGACACCAGATCGTCAGCTGAGACACCTGTCGGTATGTTCTGGACGCCCAGGACACACGTGCACTTAAGAAGATTTTCCACTTGATTTCTCCATAATAGTTAGATATACGACTGACCAGACAGTTTATCGCGTACTCCATCCCCGGATATTGATATAGTTATTGTTATATAAACGTAATATCACCTGTCAGTGTGTTACGGATATAATATCAAATCATGTAAGTTGCATAAATGCTTACCTTCATGTCATTTCCTAGATCTTACATGTCTCATTAAACATGTTTCAGACAATCCCATAAAGTGTTCTGAATAATCATGGAAACTCTCAGCTGTCCTGTGAAATGTTGTTCCATACAATGCAGATCTCCCATATTACGTCCTAACCCCTCCTTACAACAGTTATACCAACTTCTAACTGATCCGCCACAGCCTGAACCCACATATTCCTCAACATCTGACGCCATTAATCTTATAACACGTACCTCTACTTAATCACAACACTTGGTGACACCTACGTCATATCACCACAGACTTGATCCTTCTTAACGCCACAACACTTGGTGACACCTACGTCATATCACCACAGACTTGATCCTTCTTAACGCCACAACACTTGGTGACACCTACGTCATATCACCACAGACTTGATCCTTCTTAACGCCACAACACTTGGTGACACCTACGTCATATCACCACAGGCTTGATCCTTCTTAACGCCACAACACTTGGTGATCTGGTAACACCTACGTCATATCACCACGGGCTTGATCCTTCTTAACGCCACAACACTTGGTAACACCTACGTCATATCAACATAGACTTGATCCTTCTTAACGCCACAACACTTGGTGACACCTACGTCATATCACCACAGGCTTGATCCTTCTTAACGCCACAACACTTGGTGATCTGGTAACACCTACGTCATATCACTACAGGCTTGATCCTTCTTAACGACACAACACTTTGTAACACATACGTCATATCACCATAGACTTGATCCTTCTTAACGCCACAACACTTGGTAACACCTACGTCATATAACCATAGGCTTGATCCTCCTTAACGCCACAACACTTGGTGACACCTACGTCATATCACCATAGGCTTGATCCTTCTTAGCCCCACAACACTTGTTGACACCTACATCATATCACCACAGGCTTGATCCCCCTTCACGCCACAACACTTGGTGACACCTACGTCATATTACTACAGGCTTGATCCTTCTGAACCCCACAACACTTGGTAACACCTACGTCATATCACCATAGACTTGATCCTCCTTAACGCCACAACACTTTGTGACACCTACGTCATATCACCACAGGCTTGATCCTTCTTAACGCCACAACACTTGGTGACACCTACGTCATATCACCACAGGCTTGATCCATCTTCACGCCACAACACTTGGTAACACATACGTCATATCACCATAGGCTTGATCCTCCTTAACGCCACAACACTTGATGACACCTACGTCATATTACCATAGACTTGATCCTTCTTAACGCCACAATACTTGGTGACACCTACGTCATATCACCACAGGCTTGATCCTCCTTCACGCCACAACACTTGGTGATCTGGTAACACCTACGTCATATCAATACAGGCTTGATCCTCCTTAACGCCACAACACTTGGTAACACCTACGTCATATCACCACATACTTGATCCTTCTTAACGCCACAACACTTGGTGAAACCTACGGCATATCACTACAGGCTTGATCCTTCTTAACGCCACAACACTTGGTGACACCTACGTCATATCACCACAGGCTTGATCCTTCTTAACGCCACAACACTTGATGACACCTACGTCATATCACCATAGACTTGATCCTTCTTAACGCCACAATACTTGGTGACACCTACGTCATATCACCACAGGCTTGATCCTTCTTAACGCCACAACACTTGGTGACACCTACGTCATATCACCATAGACTTGATCCTTCTTAACGCCACAATACTTGGTGACACCTACGTCATATCACCACAGGCTTGATCCTCCTTCACGCCACAACACTTGGTAACACATACGTCATATCACTACAGACTTGATCCTTCTTAACGCCACAACACTTGGTGACACCTACGTCATATCACCATAGGCTTGATCCTTCTTAACGCCACAATACTTGGTGACACCTACGTCATATTACCACAGGCTTGATCCTTCTTAACGCCACAACACTTGATGACACCTACGTCATATCACCATAGACTTGATCCTTCTTAACGCCACAATACTTGGTGACACCTACGTCATATCACCACAGGCTTGATCCTCCTTCACGCCACAACACTTGGTAACACATACATCATATCACCACAGGCTTGATCCTCCTTCACGCCACAACACTTGGTGATATGGTAACACCTACGTCATATCACTACAGGCTTGATCCTCCTTAACGCCACAACACTTGGTGACACCTGCGTCATATCACTACAGGCTTGATCCTCCTTAACGCCACATCACTTGGTAACACCTACGTCATATCACCACAGGCTTGATCCTCCTTAACGCCACAACACTTGGTAACACCTACGTCATATCACCACAGGCTTGATCCTCCTTAACGCCACAACACTTGGTGACACCTACGTCATATCACCACAGGCTTGATCCTTCTTAACGCCACAACACTTGGTGACACCTACGTCATATCACCACAGGCTTGATCCTCCTTCACGCCACAACACTTGGTGATCTGGTAACACCTACGTCATATCACCACAGGCTTGATCCTTCTGAACGCCACACCACTTGATAACACATACGTCATATCACTACAGGCTTGATCCTTCTTAACGCCACAACACTTGGTAACACATACGTCATATCACCATAGACTTGATCCTCCTTCACGCCACAACACTTGGTGATCTGGTAACACCTACGTCATATCACCACAGGCTTGATCCTTCTGAACCCCACAACACTTGGTAACACCTACGTCATATCACTACAGGCTTGATCCTCCTTAAGGTTACAACACTTGGTGACACCTTCGTCATATCACTACAGACTTGATCCTTCTTAACGCCACAACACTTCGTGGCACCTACGTCATATCACCAAAGGCGTGACCCTTCTTAACGCCACAACACTTAGTGATATCTACTCCATAACGTCTTATGACACCTACCATGTGATTGCAATTACCCACAACATTTGGTGATCTGGTAACACCTACCCTATAACATCTGATTGCATCTTCCCCATCACCTATTGACACTTTCCTTAGATCACTTGATGACACCTTCCCCACATCACCTAATGATACTTTCCCCACATCCCTTAATGACACCTTCCCCACATCCCTTGATGACACCTTACCCACATCACCTAGTGACACCTTTCCCACATCCCTTGGTGACACATCCCTTGGTGACACTCACATCCCTTGGTGACACCTTCCCCACATTACCTAGTGACACCTTCCCCACATCCCTTGGTGACACTCACATTCCTTGGTGACACCTTCCCCACATCACCTAGTGACACCTTCCCCACATCCCTTGTTGACACTCACATCCCTTGGTGACATCTTCCCCACATCACCTAGTGACACTTTCCCTACATCCCTTGGTGACACCTTGCCCACATCCCTTGGTGACACTCACATCCTTGATGACACCTTCCTTACATCCCTTGGTGACACCTTCTCCACATCCCTTGGTGACACCTTCCCCACATCCATTGGTGACACCTTCCCCACATCCCTTGGTGACACCTTCCTTACATCACGTGGTGACACTTTCCCCGCACCCCTTGGTGACACTCACATCCCTTGATGACACCTTCCTTACATCCCTTGGTAACACTTTCCCCACATCCCTTAATGACACCTTCCTTACATCCCTTGGTAACACCTTCCCCACATCCCTTAATGACACCTTCCCCACATCCCTTGGTGACACCTTCCCCACATCCCTTGGTGACACCTTCCCCACATCTTTGATGACACCTTCCCCACATCCCTTGTTGACACCTTTCCCACATCCCTTGATGACACCTTACCCACATCACTTGATGACACCTTCCCCACATCCCTTGGTGACACTCACATCCCTTGGTGACACCTTCCCCACATCACCTAGTGACACCTTTCCCACATCCCTTAGTGACATTCACATCCCTTGGTGACACTCACATCCCTTGGTGACACCTTCCCCACATCACCTAGTGACACCTTCCCCACATCCCTTGGTGACACTCACATCCCTTGGTGACACCTTCCCCACATCACCTAGTAACACCTTCCCCACATCCCTTGGTGACACTCACATTCCTTGGTGACATCTTCCCCACATCACCTAGTGATACTTTCCCTACATCCCTTGGTGATACCTTCCCCACATCCCTTGGTGACACTCACATCCCTTGGTGACACCTTCCCCACATCCCGTGGTGACACTCACATCCCTTGGTGACACCTTCCCCACATTTCTTGGTGACACTTTCCCCGCATCCCTTGGTGACACTCACATCCCTTGATGACACCTTCCTTACATCCCTTGGTGACACCTTCCCCACACCCCTTGGTGACACTCACATCCCTTGATGACACCTTCCTTACATCCCTTGGTGCCACCGTCCTTACATCCCTTGGTGACGCCTTCCCCACATCCCGTGGTGACACTCACATCCCTTGATGACACCTTCCTTAATCCCTTGGTGACACTCACATCCCTTGGTGACACTCACATCCCTTAGTGACATCTTCCCCACATCACCTAGTGATACTTTCCCTACATCCCTTGGTGACACCTTCCCCACATCCCTTGGTGACACTCACATCCCTTGATGACACCTTCCTTACATCCCTTGGTTACACCTTCCTTACATCCCTTGGTGACACCTTCCCCACATCCCGTGGTGACACTCACATCCCTTGGTGACACCTTCCCCACATTTCTTGGTGACACCTTCCCCACATCCCTTGGTGACACCTTCCTTACATCCCTTGGTGACACCTTCCCCACATCCCTTGGTGACACCTTCCCTACATCACCTAATGACACCTTCTCCACATCACTTGGTGACACTCACATCCCTTAATGACACCCTCCCCACATCCCTTGATGACACCTTCCTTACATCTATTGGTGACACCTTCCCCATATCACTTGGTGACACTTTCCCCACATCCCTTGGTACACCTTCCCCAGATCCCTTGGTGACACCTTCCCTACATCACCTAATGACACCTTCTCCACATCACTTGGTGACACTCACATCCCTTAATGACACCTTCCCCACATCCCTCGATGACACCTTCCTTACATCCATTGGTGACACCTTCCCCACATCACTTGGTGACACTTTCCCCACATCCCTTGGTACACCTTCCCCACATCCCTTGGTGACACCTTCCCCACATCCGTTGGTGACACCTTCCTTACATCACTTGGTGACACTTTCCCCGCACCCCTTGGTGACACCTTCCCCACACCCCTTGGTGACACTCACATCCCTTGATGACACCTTCTTTACATCCCTTGGTGACACCTTCCCCACATCCATTGGTGACACCTTCCTTACATCCCTTGGTGACCCTTTCCCCGCACCCCTTGGTGACACATACTACCCTACAAATGATAACATCTGCCTTACACCACCAGATCATACTATTGATATAATCGCCTATTGCTCAATGACATAATCTTTAAACAGTGACTAATATCATTTAGCATCTCTCAAGGCATCAATTTATCATTTTAAGTGTGGGTCAAACAAAATAAATAAGTCATAAACCACACTTGGAATAGAACTCTAAACGCTTTTTGATTGGTTGACACGATGAACTTTGGCTGGATGGGTACTTCACGCTCACGGAAATTGAAATGCACAGAAAGCAATTCCTGAGTACATATTCAAATGATTTGATTTTTACATTCCGTAAATGGATTTCTATCAATTTATTGCGTTGAAGGGATTGAACCCGTTGATTAATTTGATTTAACATTTCCACATGTTTCCGAAATGATCAGTACTGCATATTGATTACCGGCTTTTCATTATAGGTCATATCACTACCACCAAACTGATATCGTGAACAAAATACACGCGTGTACAGAATAGATAAATATATCGTCAGAATAGATATTTCATTGTGATCACACACACTCGTTGTTGATGTGTATGTTATTTTTTCTCTCTCATAAGATCGTGTAACTTAACAACTTTAAACAGATAATTAACTCGTGTGAAACAAACTATACTATAACAATAAGCTGTTGTGTATCTTCTATATATTGCATCGATGACAAAAGTATAATTATTTTAAGAAATGAATTATTATAGTAAAAAAATCCAACTTCATTTCGATCTAAAACTAACATTTCATAAAAACATAGGATCTATATAATGTCGTCTGAAACACGTGATTCACATTGAAACATACAACATTCTCTGCGTCAAATCTTAATAAATTAGATAAATCCACATCCTGTTTGTTATGTGTGACGTCATGCACGTGAGGATGACAATTACATGAATAAGCGGAAAACCTAGACGTTCCCTCATTAAAAGATATTTAACTGACACTTAATTACAACTAAATTATATTCCGTCCAGGGAGCAGTGCACTCCACAATGCATATCTGACGTACACAACATGACTCCACTTAACCGACTTAAACGTCTACTCAACGTTAAACTAATAACAGACGTTTGATGCTGCTGGTATCATCCATCTGATAACTGGCTTACACGCGCATGTTGATCCTTTACACGTGTCTTTTAATTGGTTACGGCTTATATTGTTTTAGTAAAAGATTAAAATGCGTGATAGATAGTTGGTTATGTCGTTAATTGTATGAATCACATAGGCTCATAATTTATAATGTAACATGGACCTGATAAACGGGTTACATAGGTCTTACATAGGCTTTATAGGCCTGGTTAATGGAATCGGATGTCTTATTATGGGTTATGTGATAGTTGTGTACAGGTAATATGGAATTTATCAATCTTTCAATCCGCTAATTTGATATAACACGAGCCTTTAACAATTGACATATCAAATCACTGTAAACAATTGATAAATTCTATTTTACATGGATATTAGTTTAAGACACTATTTATCACATCACTCATATTTGAAAAAAAAATGAAAAAACATAAACTCCCAATTTCCCCATGAATCAAGCTAATTTTGACTCTGTCGGTACGTTTTCACTAAAGGCAATCGTGTGACGTCATTAAATACGTGTCTTAATTATGACGTCATTAAAACGTGTTATCACGCATTTACATGTAATTTTTCATGGCCCATAGTCATATGAATGCAATTTCTCCGAACATGATTTGTAAGGAAATTTACGGCTAAAGTGTACATGTTTTCTATGAAATCATTAATCCTCGTGCTAGACGTGATGCAGACAGATCTGTCCTACTGGCCTATGTTTTGGAACGTCCTTTTCTAGCAATAAAACAACAAATCACAAAATATTTATTTGAATATAATGTTACGTCGCATCAGAGCGGTAACAGTTCAATAGGTTTACTAGTATGGATTTCTATCTAACTCGGTTGATGCCTTTACAGACCAATGACAAATCATATCTTTTACCTGATCTATTTCCAGTCTCTATACTCTCTATACAGTCACACATACTTGCCGATATATAAAAAAAATATGTTATATAAATATTATAAAATGTCGTTAGGTATTACGAATTTGTGTAGAGGAGAGAACTTTTAGAATAAAAACTTAAATACAACATTACATAAAATTAATTTAGGGTTTCCCGTAATACTTGTACATATCAATTATATCACACTACACGTGAATATCCAAGGTGCTTGGGTCGACGCTCCATATTTCAGCTTTCCAAAAAACCGACTGGGCTGTGTTGTCGTGGTTGTGTCCGGACAAGACACTATACTCTTATTGCTTTGGACGATATGCGGCGTGCCTCTCGTATGTTGATCAGTGTAGTAGACACCGGCTTCTACAAGGAGACCCCACCTGAAAGTGGCCCTGACTGTCCACGGGGCGATAAAGAAACATACTACACCATGGTCAATATTTAATTGCTGCGACAAGGTCGGTCGACAAACTCGTGACGTCACTAGTACTTGGCAATCGACTACGTTGGTATTGATGACTGAACACGTACGTAAATGTATATATACAGTTGACGCCACTAAATAAGTGACTAAGGTCATCATCTCTCCTCTGTGTGTTTTACCCTCTGTCACGTTCGCTGTTTCCCTTTACCGTGGAAATAATTATGATTCAAGCAGAGAATTTAAGAGAGTTTAACATTCCAACCTGAGTTTATGTTTTTGATGATGTTAGCAAATGTCTGAACTCGACATAACTCTCATACTCGAGAGATGCGTAAAACATGCCTATAATGTGATTAGACATGTATTTTGCAGCATCTATACTGCGATACCTGTTGTACGTATCGTTATATATGTCAACATTATGCTAAAGGTATACACTTATATGTAGGCCATACCATCATTACGGACTATATATACTTTCACAGATTGTCCCCGAGATAACCCTTTAATTTGTGTGTACTAGTACATTAGATATGTTATCCCTTGCCGAGGCCAGCAGCCCGGCACAGTGACGTCATCAGCCAATACACCGTACAATAAGATCCTATCCCTCGGGGTAGTCGACGTCAATTACTGATTAAACTTGGAAACTTCTAAATTGTTTGGCATCATCGGTATATATAGTTACTAGGCGTACATAGTTGTGTGTTTTATTAGGACACCACCTATTGTTAATGTATATAGCGTATACTGAACTGGTACAACAACACCTGTGCTTTTACCTGTGTTTACTTTGACAACTTGAACTACGAAGGATAAAGATGACGGTATGTATACAATTTCTGTCGCTTGTATCGGTATCTGGTCCCCGAACGTTCTAATACTGATCAAAGATAAAATCTAAAACGAATACTCGTGTGGTTTAGAATTTATGAAACCAATTTGCCAGTAACTACATACTGTAAATTCGATAATAAATGAAAATGCTCTTTCTCTCTGGTGGTGCGACGTCAATTATTGATGACGTCACAGTGTTATTTTTCAATCATTTTTCTTACAAATATTGAATAGCAAAATAACATTGCGAATGATTTGCTATAAAAAGCTATATAAAATATCTAAATCACACAAGTTTAGGTCATTGTATATGGCATCTATCGAAAACATTGGATTTTAAGAGAAATATTCAATGGAATTCACGATCGACATGGCATCTTTCATATTGTTAAAATATTTTAAGATATTATTGTGTTGTCTGTTTACAGAGAAAATGACACAAAATAACCTGGTTGGTATCTAAAACGAGTTTGTATACAATCATATAAAAATTCTTCACTAGGACTCGGTGACCTGTGTACATACTTTGTATTGTATACACTAGTTAAGGGTGATACACCCGCCAGATATAGTACTGATCATAGTAAACCTGTACTCGGTTGTATACACGTGGTTGAAGTACAAAACAAATCCCACGGACATAGTTACTATATTACTGATTCTCAGGCGTGCATTATCCAGAAGACGATGCAGTCCTATCTTTATCTACTCCCTGCTTGTTCTAATTACTTTCTTGGCAGTCTGTCTTATTGTTTCAGATTATGCTATGTAGGTATGTACATGTATTATTCTGTCAATTGGTGATTTTTTAAAATTCACATTGGAATTTATTATCTGTCCCAGTCGCCCATGTCAATTGTCCGTCTATACATTAACACTTTTTGTTATCACTGTTTGTTGAGAAGAACGTTAAGGATCTGTCACATATCTCATGTATAATTTTCTCTTGGTACTTGGTTGTGCACTGTCGATTAGGGAACTGGTAGAAAATAATATGGTCGGCAAATGGCCATCTTGGATTTTGACAGTTATTTATGTACTTTCGCTTTTCTTGCGAAGTACTGGCAGGATCGTTACCGAATATTTTTCATATGTTTCCAGTCATCTCTAGTTACATTTGGTCTATTTTTGCAAAATAAAATAGCAGACAAGCATTTGTCCTGTATTTTCAGGGTTATAGTTTGTTACTGGTGTTTATTGAGAGGTTACCCTTGATGCCATGTTGTGTATAAAAAGTGTCTGATTTCAGTATTGATGCCATAACAGTTGGACATGTTAGACCAGACAGCTACAATTTATTCATCTCTCTTACTCGAGAAAAACTTCGATTTCATAAGAAAATCTCCTTTGGTCCGTTGTGCAATCTCCATTTCGGGACTGATCGGGAAACGTCCGACAAATACTCCTTGTTTATTGATAACGTGTGATTAAGTTTCCTGTCAACACGGGGGAATAAAGGCACAACTAAACGTTATATAATGGTGGGCGCCAAGATCTGAGATTTCTTGATATGTACATGGTCATGCACATTGTACACGTAAAATTTGGCTGAAACCACTTAAGATCGATTTTCAGCTATATTCCTCTGGTAGGCTTACCTTATATGTTATTAATATCAATCTATTTATTTATTTATTTGTCTAAACATCTTACAAGAAATACATATAAAT